AGGAAACGGGTGTTAGTATGTCTTAACACGATTGTAAACATTGTGGCCGGATCAAACTGGTGACAGGTGGCCAGTAAATGCCTACCTATGGATGAAGCAGGTGGTTTACGTGAACAGATGGTATGAGCAACCGAGGACTGGGTGATTTGACGCTGCAACCATTTAGGTACATGTTCCCTTATTCTGGAATTCAACGATCGATTGGTACGGCCAATGTAGTGTATACCACAACTACAAGTAAATTGGTAAATGCAATGTGAGTTGGCGCCAATAGGTTGTCTTTCCGTCATTGGGGTAACAGGCATTCGATTCGTCCGGTTGATAAGGACAGTTTCGGCAGCATAATAAGTCCTCTGGACTGCGGAAATTATGCGCTTCGTTGTCCTCATATTAGCGAAATCTCCCTTAAATGGTAGCTCGATGTAGATCTTCTTTTTAGCCACTGTCGATACCTTCTGTCCCGGCACCCTCGCCTGACTATGTTTGTCGATGAACCTACTTGGATAGCCATTTTTCAACAACGTATCCTTGAGCGAGTTTATCTCATCATCTAAACTGTCGGTAGAGGCTTTAGATGAGTTTAACTTATCCGATAAAGTCATGTCCACATTGGATGTACAATCGCTTTTCACCAATGTTCCGCTACCTGAAACAGTTGATTCCGTGTGTGGAATGGCAGAGTGCTCCGATTTTACTCTTCCAATGCCAGTCCAATTATTAAAGGACAGCTTACTACTATGTACTGAGAACATCGGTTTCCAATTCCAAAACATTCCTTATCGCCAGATAGATGGGGTGGCAATGGGTAGTCCGTTGGGCCCAGTACTAGCAGATTTTTTCATGTCGATGGTTGAAAAGAAGTTGAGTGTGGAAATATCGCTGCTTTCCTACTATAAGCGATATGTGGATGATATTCTAGTGTTTAGCTCATCAGAGGAGCACATTGCGCGTTTAGTCGATCGCCTGAATAACGTGCATACGAATCTGAAAGTAACCAATGAAACAGAGAAAAGCAACTGCCTTCCATATCTGGACGTGTTGATTTGCCGAAGAGCAGATGGGTCCATCAAAAGAGAGGTTTACCGAAAACCGACTTGGTCAGGGCAGTACCTACACTTTACCAGCTTCTCCCCAATGCGGTACAAACGGACCTTAGTCAAGACGCTATTCAACCGTGCAAGGAAAATATGCACTACCGACAGTTTAGATGATGAGATAAACTCGCTCAAGGATACGCTGTTGAAAAATGGCTATCCAAGTAGGTTCATCGACAAACATACTCAGGAGACGGTACCGGGACAGAAGGTCTCCACAGTGGCTAAAAAGAAGATCTACATCGAGCTACCATTTAAGGGAGATTTCGCTAATATGAGGACAACGAAGCGCATAATTTCCGCAGTCCAGAGGACTTATTATGCTGCCGAAACTGTCCTTATCAACCGGACGAATCGAATGCCTGTTACCCCAATGACGGAAAGACAACCTATTGGCGCCAACTCACATTGCATTTACCAATTTACTTGTAGTTGTGGTATACACTACATTGGCCGTACCAATCGATCGTTGAATTCCAGAATAAGGGAACATGTACCTAAATGGTTGCAGCGTCAAATCACCCAGTCCTCGGTTGCTCATACCATCTGTTCACGTAAACCACCTGCTTCATTCATAGGTAGGCATTTACTGGCCACCTGTCACCAGTTTGATCCGGCCACAATGTTTACAATCGTGTTAAGACATACTAACACCCGTTTCCTACGTTTTGCAGAGGCAGTCGCGATCAGCCGTATCAAACCCGCACTCTGTGTGCAGAAACAGCTGTTCGTAAGCCTACGGCTGCCCTGGGCGTAGGGGTGTCACGCCTGCCCCTCTACCCTGTTCTAACTTGTTCCGGTCTCACCCTATCTGTCGTCTTATATATTTTCATGTTATTGTGTTGGCACTGAAGAGACAATACGAAATGTTGACATCTGCCAGTTTTCGTCTTCTTACGGCATTATTCAAATTACTAAAGGGATCTAATTGTTTCAAAATATAATATGTATCAATATATTGCTTGCTTGTTTATTCTTTGTAGTGTAATTTTTAGTATCAGATCAACAGGTGAGGTTTTATGCGGATGGAGATACTGCGGATTACGGGTCTCAACCGAAAGACCTGGCTTATAGGCGTTGCATCAATATGGTAAGCGAAAAAGGTAGCGACAGTTCGCCTGTGCGCTGTCAGGTGACCACCACCAGTCGTGCGCAAGCTAGGAATACTGCGACGTCGCAATCACTTAAGCAGTTTTAAACTGGTGACCATCGCATTACAAGGCACACGTTTCATCTCGGCGGCCATCGCCCGATAACAAGAGTGTGGCCACGGTGCATAGCATGAGTTATGTCACACTGGGGTTGCCTCCTTAATCTCCAACCCTAACTAAGAGGAGTAGGTTACTGTTTGTTTTACTCATTGAGTAATATGATAGAAGCTACTCTCAAGGTGTTTAGAAGAACAATCCTGTATGATTCAATGGACAGTTAAGATACACAAATGATAACATCACATCAAAGTCCAGTCCAACTGAGACAGGATGATCTTTACTATCCGGAATTTGTGCTGTTTCACACAACAAAGACTCCAAGGAAAAGTGTGAAAACTGAGCTTTAGAAAAGAAAACGGCGCGCCACAAGGCACACGGAAAAGGGAGGTCCTATGACGTCAGTAAGCAAAACTCTACTCAGGGGCTGGCAATGAGTAGAACGAGTAGCGAAGGTCAGAAGCATTATCACAATCAGTCGCACGCCTGAACTGTACGCTAAGCGTTCGATGCTATGCAATATTACAGCACTTCATTCATGACACATGAGGTATGGATGCCGGATAAAGTGATTGTATCCGGCGAATCAGTGGCTATTAGGACGTGGGTTAGAACTAACATTGACCTTCGGTGCGTACTTATCCGTTCCATACAGGAAAATTTAATGAGGCGCAAGAGTTGAACTATACGCAGATTCTTTGGAGTCGAAAACAACTTTATTTATGTGCTGTGTTACTGTACGGTTGCGAAATCTGACCCCTAAGATCGGCGGACATAAACAGGCTAAGTACGTTCGACCATCGGTGTCTCCGCAGTTTGGCTCACATCTGGTGGGAACACCACGTGAGTAACGAGCGTATTCGACACCTTGTTTACGTTACAGAAAAAGAAACTGAACCGCTCAGCACCGTCATTTCACGCACCAGCCTCCGATGGCTCGGCCACGTGTTGCGCATGCCAGCCCATCGACTTCCACGACGTGCGTTGTTTACTCACCGGGGAGGTGGATGGAAGAAGAGGAGGGGTGGCCAAGCGATGACTTGGTCCAGAGGAATGAAGGCTCTCACTTCAGAGCTGGCCTCGATTGGAGCGTCACAGCTCACTGGTTGGGGTCCGAAAGACGATAAACATGTTTGACTGGATACACTTGCTGACCTGGCAAGAAGCCGACCTCAGTGACGTTCCTGCTGTGAGTTCCTTTGTCCCTCCCCATCCCTTCTAGCCTCCCTTCCATCTACGATCTCACTTCGTAGCGCAAAACAATAATTTTTCTTTTTGCCTAGTACCCGGCTGATAACTTACCGGAACGATGCCTATCCGTTGCTGGCAGTTCATCTGGCATGTAACTTTTGTATTTATTTTCCTTTTCCTTTATGTATTGCTGAGGTTTTTCCCACCTCTAGCTGACGTGTATAATGATGATGATGCTGTGTTGCGTTTCTCGTCAAGTAGGGCAATTCGGTTGCAAACACGTACTACTAGTCAAAAGTCAAGGGGAAGTTTCAGCGGAACCTGAAGATTCAAGAATGAACTGACCATAGAAACATATATCAGTCAAAACAGATGAACAAGCGATGAGAAGACAAGCACCAGTGTTCGATATACAGCTAAGTATTCGTCTGTTTAGAACCCTGGCTCTTGATCCAATCAGTTCAGTGTGCTCAAAGCTTCAAGTTTATCATGAGAGCGAGGACTTCGAGTTCCAAAATGCGTTACGACAACTCAACCGGTGACCAAACACTGTAAGGAAAATTGTGCTTATAAGTGGTAAGACATTTAGTAGTACTCCCCACTTCAGAAAATAGGAAATCGTTGTTTTGTAATGACAATATATGAGATGACCAGTCGCTTCGATGACAGCAGCCACAACGGCAATTGTACAGACAGGACTAAACAGCCAAAATAGGGTGTAGCAGCTATGGAAGAAGTCCTAACTCTAGGAAACAGAAATTGTTAATTACCGAGCTACAGCCTGAAGATCAGTACAAACATAACCATAGGGGTTTGTGGGATAAATAAGATGGAAAGGTATGTCTCAGAAGCAGGTCATCGCGGTCCCGTCTTAGTCAGCAGGCTTCGACACTTCTGGAAAGGCACCAGGCAGCCGTTTCGATCTGGGTCTCGTCAGTGGTGCGCCTTCCTCGGACCCTGCCGGGTTCCGATTCCACGGCATTCGGATGGTAATAGCTTCTGCCACTAATCCATGGATGATGGCCGCAGGTCTGCATGAGTGACATCATCATCATCAGTACACAGGTTAGCTAGAGGTAGGTGGCATGACCGGCAGTAATTAGTAATCAAAAAAGCCGTTCATACGGCTTCTAAGTGCTGTGTCATACGCAGTGGCCATGTGGAAAGTCGTAGCTCCCGGGGCCAATCACTGTCCTCTGCACGGTTCGTAATTAGCATGGCGGTGGGGATGAGTCGCGCTGTATCGTAGTCGACTGTCAGTCATGCAGGTCCGCAGCCGTCACTCATGATTTACTAGCACTAGCATGTGGCATCCAGAAGTCACGGGGTCGGAACGCCGCAGGAGTCCAAAGAACCCGCACCACTGATGAGATCCAGAAGGTCGAAACAGCTGTCTGGTGCATTCCCAGACTTATGGAAGCGCGCTGACTAAGAGGTGACCGCGACGAAATAACTCAGAAATTACACAAAAATCGCCACTACTCATTAGTAATCGAAAGGTGTGTGCATGTTCACGCTATTAGTATTAAATGAAGATGACCTGATCACAAAAAATGGAATGACAACGTAAGAACACCCTCATATTAAAAAGTTACCTTTTTGTTGTAGGTGCAGTATGCGGAATACCACGTCTTCGGGTTTAGAGATCCCAGTCAACAACGTAGTTGCAAGGGAGAAAATCTGGTATGTCGATTTTTCTTTTATTTAGTTCTAAATCAGGAAAGATCACTGTCAGAAGGAGGCCAAAGCAGCCAAATTTTGGGCTAATAACTGGAGCTTTTTGATACAAACACAACAGGAGTTGCTGGGTGAAGAGTACGAACAGTTGAGGAATGCAGAGCGGCCGAAACCCGAAATACCGCGCCACTTGGGAATCACAGATGTCGAGCCAATCTCAAAATTCATAACTGTAAAACCCTCACCGCAACCAATCCCGCAAAGAAGTAGCGGATTCATTGGATGGAGATCGGGACACAGCGAGTACAACTTAGAAAAATACGCACAACAGAGGAGGTCACAAGGCAGTCTGCTACGCCGGTTCAACTGGCCTATAGAAGCGACCTGGTAAACAGCAACATATTGGTCGAGATTGACGATAATATCAGTTTCTTTCCTGTTCAATCATGTTACTTCACTTAAGAAAATAGTGACTACAATTCCAATACGCAATGTTTTTTGATTACAAACAGATTAAAGATAGTTGAAATAGAAACAAATCGTAAGAAACAATAGACTCTTTAAACAAACGCATGTTGCAGTTGTCGACTGAAGGTAAGTATTTACTTATGTGGCACCGCTCCACATCTATAGCTGTCTGACTATGCTTGACTGCGGCGAAGGTTTTCAAAATTACAACAAACCTTACAACTCTCCGACAAACAGTAACTGTCCGAGTGGCTTACATTATATCTCGATTAGTAGCGGCCTTAAAGGGAAGTCGTAACTTGGTGTCAACCCAGGCGCTCGTGCTTCAACAACATGCATGACAGTGGATGAATAGTCGCGTTATATCGCTGCCGGTGATCTGTTAAGGCAGACCGCCACCAGAATCCATGCCACGGTGATTCGGATTCAATGAATGCACGCTGTTGACGGGTCCCCGCAGGAGGAAACACGTCTGGCGCCTTTACGGATGTTTGACGGCTACCTGGCCTAGTCTGGCTGCGACGAACCTTCTCAAGAAGAAAGCTTTCATTAAGATAAACCTAAGACAGAAGTCATATTGCACAATCCCAGTATGGGTCTTACAATGTCCGAGAATAAAGAATCTATGCATATATTTAAAGTTCCTGAGTCACCCATCGGCCTCTGCTGAAAGTGCGTATGCCAGGGTTGAACATCCACTCTTTCTGGACAGATAAAATATCTAAGTGATTTGGTTTGGATACCACCGCAAGGAACCGGATCTAAAAGACAAAACGCAAAGACATAAATAATGTTATACACTGGCTGCGAATAGGAAAATGAATAAGACTAATTCGCGGAGGGTTCAAATAAAGGATCTCAGGAAATTGGTAAAGGTGCTCGTGACTGATAAACGTGACTCAATTAGAAAAAGTCTGGGAGAAAAAACAATAAATGTGTGGGCCAACAAAAGGCAAACATGTATAAGGCATTTTTCCACTGAGAGATCTGTGCGGCTCAACAGATTCTGGTTGACCATCATAACCTGAAACCGTAGCACTGACAAAATTCAAGAAATAGCACGAAAATGGATTTCAATGCGCACTTATACAGAGTCAAATAAAATGGTTAGTGATAGAAACAATCGTATGGATCTGGAGACAACCGCATGGAGAACGACAATAGAGAAAAAATTAGCCGCTTTTCTAACCTCAATAAGGTACAAACTGTGCAAATACGAATGAGGAAAATGTACATTCACTGGTGCATAGGGAAGTCATCTCAAATAAAAGACGAATAGGGGTTTGTGCGATAAAGTCTCGGTGCTGCTCAGTAGCGTTAACTCCTCTTTGCAGAAGTGGTGATTATTGGTTTCGGACGGGTTTTGAACAGGAGCTTCCGTCGGATCAATGCTGTCACCCGGTATTCCGCGGAATCCTTGGAGTCTTTCCTGGTCACAACAAAGGGTTTTTCCAACATTACAAGTTTCCCAAAGAGAACATGATGGCCGATGATAAATATCGGTTCACCCTGAAATGAAATGAGAAAGAAAACGAACGAACCTGCGGAGAAAAATGCAAATCTCCCACAAGACTGCCAGCGAATGAGCAATCAGATCTGGATAGCAGTTCCCCCTGCAGTTCAATAAGTAACCACTCATCGACATTGCCGCTGTGATGGTAATGATTATCAACAAAGAGTCGTCAAATTACGAGGGGCTCCGAAACCGGACGATCATTACAAAACCGGGCAGAACAAAGACTGAAACTGAGAAGAAAGGTAGGATTAATGAAAATTAACACTGGTACTAAGGTACACATGGTATTTAAAAATGTCCGTCTCGTGACAATGTGTCGAACAACAGAATTCAAAGCAAAGAGAAGGAATGCTCATAATGAACAGTGATAAAAAACGGGTCCAAAAATGCCCTCAGACAACAGCTAACAAAGATAGGCAGTTGATCCATTCTGTCTCGCAGACTACCGGGTCAAAGGGATAATTTTGAAGAGTAGTTCAGTAAGCCAGCGAGAATGCTGAGGCCTGAGTCATCTGAGCTCGAATGTGAGGTGATGTCACACTTTCCAATATGAAAGATCCAACAGAAACTCGCTGTTGTGAAAAAAACAAGACTCCTAACCCGACGAACTTCCGGCACTGCTGTTGTGGTATGTACCGAGCTAGGAAATATGGTTACAAATGCCTCAACGGCATTCGAAGTGACACAAAAAGGGAAAATGGCGGTTTCGTAGCAAGAGCAGGTAAATGAAAAGTAAGAGGATAAAGGCCGCCTCCGTTTTTCCTGAAAGATGAAGATAAATCTTTTCTGACCGGAATTGCTGCTCTATTCAACGGTATCTGGGACCCTAAAGTGGTGACTCTCAACCAAATCTTCAAAAAAGTGTCAACACAAAATCATCGAGGCATTAACATTATTTCCACGGCCTCCAAAGTTCTCGTGGATATCACTTCCGCAAATAACTGGGCAAGTGTTAGTATATATATATATATATATATATATATATATATATATATATATATATATATTGTCTAACAAGCGTCCTGTTTCTTGTACTGGAAAGCAAACCCAGTACTTCGACTTCTGAGTTGTCTTCCTTGCCTCTGCAAAAAAATGAAGCAAGACGAGATCAACATTTGTACTCTCTTGGATCCTAGACCTCACGGCCTATTACGATTGCCAATAAATTTACAATAATACAGAAAATAGATATGGCGAGGCCGTTTTTGAAGGCGGTTACAGTTGCACTTCCAAGTTCCAATTATGAACAACTCAATTTGAAAAGAACTTGACCTTAATCTCCAGCCTGGACGTCTGATGCTTAATCTTAAGAGCAGGCGCCGTAGATGGTCGGATGCAGCAAGTTCAAAACTATCGGAAGGCTTAACCTCACTGAGGCGCTTCATAACCTTGAACGTTTCTATCAGGTCACCTCGTAACTTGCGCCGCTACATAGAGAACAATCCTAAGCCCCTTAGGCGCTCTTCGTATGATTTCCCGCACTGGCCCTCGATCTTCTTATTTACCAGCTTTTGGATCTTTGCTATGTAGGTCACGTCCTTCTTGAGATACGGTGCCCATGCCTGCACAAAGTACTCTAGATGGGGTCGTACCATCGCCTTATATAATGGGAAAAACCTCTGGCTTGGTGTTACATAACGTTGTCTTGAGGCGAAACAACTGCCGCGCCTTGTTGGCGGCATGCTGACAGTGTTGAGGTTTTAAGGGTATTTGTCATAAAGATACCATAATCTCGAGCCTCGTCAATGGACTGCAATGTCAGGGTGCGCCCTGAAGGGCAGAGTGTACAATGCAGCGGTACGTTCGACCCTACTGTACGGTTGTGAAACCTGGCCGCTTAGAGCAGCAGACCAGAAGAGGCTAGTTACGTTCGAGCATCGGTGCCTTCGTAATTTAGTTCACATCTGGTGGGAACACCGCGTGAGCAAAGAGCGTGTTCGACGCCTTGTTTACGGCACAGGAAGAGGAAATGAACCGCTCAGTACCGTCATTTCACGCAGTAGGCTCCGATGGTTCGGCTACGTGTTACGCATGCCAGCCCACCGACTCCCGCGATCTGCTTTGTTTGCGCGCCAGGGGTGTGGATGGAAGAATAAGAGAGGTGGCCAAGCGATGACTTGGTCGTGAGGAAGGCTCTCACTTCGAAGCTGGCCTCAGTTGGAGCGTCTCGGCTCCCTGGTTGGGGTCCGAAAGACGATGAACACGTTTGGCTGGATACACTTGTTGATATGGCTAGGAGCCGACCTCATTGGCGTTCGTGCTGTGAGTTTCTTTGTCGCACCCCATCCCTCTTAGCCTCCCTCTCCAACCACGATCTCATTAGTTAGCATTTTATAATTTCACATGTTAAATTCTTTTTTTCTGCTGCATAGTAGCAGGCAGGTAGCCTATCGTAACGATGCCTATCCGTTACCGGTAGCTCAGCCGGCTTCCACCTGTTGCATTTTATTCTCTTTTTTCTTTTAGGTATTTCGGCACAGTAGCTGACGTGTTTCCCACCTTTGGATAACGTGTATAGAGAGAGAGAGAGAGAGAGTGTGTGTGTGTGTGTGTGTGTGTGTGTGTGTAAGGTCAAGGTGCCGGCATTAGTTTGCGCTGCAACCTCATCATTGCCGGAATACAACAACTGACACTTACTGGTGTTAAGGGGCAAATCTCATGAGGAAGACCATCTCGTTACAGTGCAAATATTTTTGACAACATGCCTCGATCGCCCTTGGTTACAAGTTTTACATCGTCAGCAAAAACAGCAAGAATTCTCAAGGAGCGCATCCAAATCATTGAGATACAAAAAGAACAACAGCGGACCTAAAACAGAACCCTGAGGAACACCGTTGTGAATGGTATCCACAATTGAGCAGAAGTCATGGATTCGGACCCGGAAGTTCATTTGCAAAGAAATTCCGCTATCCAATTCAACAGCTGGGAATGTATCCCAAACCATAACAGCTTTCCAAGTAGGAAGGGATGGTTGACGGAATCAAAAGCCTTACTGGTCTAAATAGCAAACTTCGACTGAGATGCCATCATCAAAACAGTGATTTATCGCATCTAAAAAGGACAAAAGATTGGCAAGGCATGACTTCCGCTTGACGAAGCCGTGCTGCTCCGCTCCTATCAAGTTATGGGCAACTAACTGGCCACAAATGCGGTTCCTGATAACCTTTTTTAAACATTTGAGCGGGACGCTAGTAAGGCTGACTGGCCTTTAGTTTTCATGGCCTGATTTAGAGCCCCCTTAGTGAATTGCTACAATGGCGCTCGTGAAAGCCAGATTCGTGAGCAGCAAGCCGGGCTTCGTAGAGGCCGTGGCTGCATTGACCCCATCTTCACTTTGCGTCAATCGTTGGAGCACAGTCACACATACTGTCGGCCCACCGTAGTCGTGTTCCTCGACATCAAAGGTGCCTACGATTCGGTTGATCGAAGTGCCCTTTTGGACTGTCTACTCAGGAAAGGAGTGCCGAGGAATATGTAAATATTATCCGAGTATTATACACGTGTAGCAATGGGCAGAGTGAGGGCTTACGGCGAGCTGTCTCCACCCTTCAATATCACCAGCGGTGTGAGACAAGGATGTCCGCTGTCACCTTTCCTCTTCAATTCCGCTATTGGTCATTGAGATTGCATTTACAGGACAAGAATTAGGTGTGGAGGAACTCCCACTAGGACTTCTTGACTTGGAGTACACAGACGACATTGCCCTCATCTGTGACAGCTCCCAGACGTGCCAAGCTACACTGGACAGATTAGCGCTGGCTGTCAGCCACTTCGGGCTTTGCCTCGCACCCTCGAAGTACAAAGCTGTCCTCGAAGATAAGCAGGGATCGCCTCCTGAGCTGACCCTTGGTGGGGATCAGCTAGAATTCGTTCGGAAATTCAACTACCTGAGAAGTTGTATCAGCGTCCTTGAGATCGAAGACGAGATCACGAACCGTATAGCAAAAGCTCGAAGTGCTTTTGCCAGTCTTCGCCAACTGCGGCGGCGGCGAGACAACATTCTCGTCCTGAAAGGTAGCGTACAATGTAGCGGTACGTTCGAGCTTACTGTATGGTCGCGAAACCTGGCCCTTTAGATCAGCAGACATAAAGAGGCCAGTTACGTTCAACCATCGATGCGTTCGCAATTGGACACATCTGGGGGGAACACCGCGTGAACAACGAGCGTGTTCGACGCCTTGTTTATGGCAAGGGAAAAGAAACTGAATGGCTCAACACCGTCATTTCAAGCATCAGGCTCTAATGGCCCGGTCACGTGTTGCGCATGCCAGCCCACCGACTCGCGCGACGTACGTTGTTTGCGCGTCAGGGGTGTGGATGGAAGAATAAGAGAGGTGGCCAAGTGATGACTTGGTCTAGAGGAATGCAGGCCCTCACGTCGGAGCTGGCGTCGGTTGGTGCTTCATGGCTCCCTGGTTACGGACCAAAAGACGATGAACACGTTTGGCTAAATACACTTGCCGACATGGCTAGGAGCCGACCCTAGCAGCGTTCGTGCTGTGAGTTTCTTTGTCCTTCCTCATCCCTTTTAGCTTCCTCCCCACTCAAGCACGATCTTATTTCGTAGCATAATATAATTTTACATCATAATTTCTCATGTCGCCTAGTAGCCGGATGGTAGCTTTCCTGAACGATGCCCATCCGTTGCTAGTAGCTCAGCTGGCATGCAGCCATTGTATCTATTTTCTTTTTTCTTTTATGTATTGCGGCACAGTAGCTGAGGTGTTTTACACTTCTAGCTGACGTGTATAATGATGATGACCGGTGAGGAACCAGGAACGTCCGGCCTCATGATTCGATAAGTTACACTTGACAATTCTTCCACAACGAATTGTCCCTCCCAGTTTCGACGGGGTTTCGCAGGTACGCCCGGTGGTTACTGTTGCCTTGAGCCAGACTGCCTCACCAGGCTTGAACGGACTCCCGAAAGCCTTCCGGTCAAAGTAAGCCTTCTGGTGACGCTGCGAGTCTTGCAGGTGCGCTTGTGCCATCTGGCGTGTTCGCAATAGACTTGACTGTAACCGAAGTATATGCACCGAAGCAGTTAGAGTTTCATGGTGTGACGTCGGTAGCAGAGTATCCGAAGGTGGACGCAGTTCACGACCCGTCATAATGAGATGTGGTGTCTGATGGACGGATAAGTGGACAGATGACCGATAAGTTAGTAAACATTTGGGCAGAGCCATGTCCCATTCCCGAGGATTCTTGGTAGTTAGGAAAGCCTGTAATAG